TTTTGGTATAACCTTTACCTGAAACCCTGCAGCTGCTACAATACCAGTATTGTTGTGTCCTCTAAGCTGAAGCTAGCTAGATACAGTAAACTCCCCATTATCCGGCATCCACGGGGATTGATACATTCTGGATAAATGTTGTTTCTTGTTGTTTGAGAGTTACTATTAAAAATAGGTCTAACTAATGCAATACCCCATTCTATACCCTGCCATACCATAAACTCTGTATTGACTTCATATTAATATTAAAATGCAATAATCAAAAACAAATTAAGACAAATAAACACAATGAAAACAAATTAAGACAAATAGGCACACGATCGTTTCCAGGATAATACATGCCGCAGATCAGCAGAACAGTGAGTACAAAGGGGATTTTTTTTTGTTCTGGTTAGTTGAATACTGGATAACCGAGAGTTTACTGTACTCAGACAACCTTTTATTTTATGGCTGCACCGATACTAGTATCGGCATTGGTGCTGATACTCGCCCAAATGTTCCCGATCCCTATCCCGATTTAGGAACTTCTGGTATCAGGAAGCCAGGCGGTGAGTCATTACATGCTGCCTGGCTTCCTGATTGCCCGGGAAGCCAGCTCCATGCTCACTCGTCACTTGGTGATGTAGGAGCATGGAGTCAGCTTCCCGGGTAATCCAGAAGCCAGGCTGCTTGTTATGACTCGCCGCCCAGCTTCCTGATTGGCCAATTTCTCAACCAATCAGGAAGCCATGTGGTGAGTCATTACCCAACCCCCAGCTTCCAGAAAGCCGACTCCATGATTCCTTCTCACCTGGTAATAAGAGAGCATGAAGATAGCTTCCCGGCTAATCAGGAATCCGGGTGACTTGTTACGACTCACTGCCCAGCTTCCTGATTGGTCGGGAAGCTGGCCAATCAGTAAGCCTGGCGGCAAGTCATTACCCGGTGAGAAGGGAGCATGGAGATGGCTTCCTGGCTAATCGAGAAGCCGGGCGGCGATCCATTACACGCCGCCCGGCTTCCTTAATCGGACTTCCGATATTCGGTATCAGCAAGTTCTGAAAAAAATATCGGTACTCGATACCGAAAAAACGGTATCGGTGCACCACTATTTTATTTCACACATACTCCCAATTCGAGGTGTGAAGTAGCACAGAAGATATCACATACATCACCAATCTATGGAAATATCGAGCTAATTGTTTCATAAAAATTGAAAAATTATTTCATAACAATGTCCTACAAAATGTTATCCACAAAGCATGATGAGGTCCTCACTAACTATCCCAGATTTGTGCCATTTAGATTTTTTTTTTCAGGCATGACAGAGGTCAGTAGGTATAAGCAAGACATTTGCTTTTAATTCCTTCACGTTTAAGAAGGAATTAAGCATTGTTTCAGTGAGCTATAAGGTAACGGTACCAACAAATTTCTCCACGTCTGTATTCCCTTGCTCTTTCTTTGGAGAGTATTGCCTGATGTGCTGTGTGACCTGAAAATGTGTAACCTTTATATAAATCAAAATATGCATATAGCAATATGCATTTTTCTCTTGAGAATAGTTTATTAAGTTTTACATAAAACAGAGAAACACACAGAGAAACAAATCAAGGCGAGGGTGTACTCTTCCTCCATATAGGAGTTGTTTGTTTAATGTTTTGTATCAAAAGGAGACGTCACATGCCATTTTATTTGTATTGTTCTACTTTCCAATATACATTTATTCTTTCTGGAGGAACTATGTATATCTTGGTGCCTATTATCTGACATTATCTGAAATTTTTTGGTTTTGTCTTTATAACTTGGGTGTGATTTTGTGGGGGTGGCTGCAATGTGGGTGTGACTTCATAGGGGGTTGACTAAATGTGGGCGTGGCTAAAATGTGGGTTTGACTTTGGGGGTGGCTTATTTGGGCTTGACTTTGTGGGTGTGGTTAAGAAGTGGGCATGGTCAATAGAATTTTTAGATGGAGGTGATTAATGGCAGCCCACATACACTATATTGCCAAAAGTATTGGGACACCTGCCTTTACATGCACATGAACTTTAATGGCATCCCAGTCTTAGTCCGTAGGGTTCAATATTGAGTTGGCCCACCCTTTGCAGCTATAACAGCTTCAACTCATCTGGGAAGGCTGTCCACAAGGTTTAGGAGTGTGTCTATGAGAATGTTTGACCATTCTTCCAGAATTGCATTTGTGAGGTCAGGTACTGATGTTGGATGAGAAGGCTTGCCTCAAAGTCTCTGCTCTAATTCATCCCAAAGGTGTTCTATCGGGTTGAGGTCAGGACTCTGTGCAAGCCAGTTATGTTCCTCCCCCCCAAACTCGCTCATCCATGTCTTTATGGACCTTGCTTTGTGCACTGGAGCGCAGTCATGTTGGAACAGGAAGGGGCCACACCCGAACTGTTCACACAAAGTTGGGAGCATGATGGCATGACAGAGGTCAGTAGGTATAAGCAAGACATTTGCTTTTAATTCCTTCACGTTTAAGAAGGAATTAAGCATTGTTTCAGTGAGCTATAAGGTAACGGTACCAACAAATTTCTCCACGTCTGTATTCCCTTGCTCTTTCTTTGGAGAGTATTGCCTGATGTGCTGTGTGACCTGAAAATGTGTAACCTTTATATAAATCAAAATATGCATATAGCAATATGCATTTTTCTCTTGAGAATAGTTTATTAAGTTTTACATAAAACAGAGAAACACACAGAGAAACAAATCAAGGCGAGGGTGTACTCTTCCTCCATATAGGAGTTGTTTGTTTAATGTTTTGTATCAAAAGGAGACGTCACATGCCATTTTATTTGTATTGTTCTACTTTCCAATATACATTTATTCTTTCTGGAGGAACTATGTATATCTTGGTGCCTATTATCTGACATTATCTGAAATTTTTTGGTTTTGTCTTTATAACTTGGGTGTGATTTTGTGGGGGTGGCTGCAATGTGGGTGTGACTTCATAGGGGGTTGACTAAATGTGGGCGTGGCTAAAATGTGGGTTTGACTTTGGGGGTGGCTTATTTGGGCTTGACTTTGTGGGTGTGGTTAAGAAGTGGGCATGGTCAATAGAATTTTTAGATGGAGGTGATTAATGGCAGCCCACATACACTATATTGCCAAAAGTATTGGGACACCTGCCTTTACATGCACATGAACTTTAATGGCATCCCAGTCTTAGTCCGTAGGGTTCAATATTGAGTTGGCCCACCCTTTGCAGCTATAACAGCTTCAACTCATCTGGGAAGGCTGTCCACAAGGTTTAGGAGTGTGTCTATGAGAATGTTTGACCATTCTTCCAGAATTGCATTTGTGAGGTCAGGTACTGATGTTGGATGAGAAGGCTTGCCTCAAAGTCTCTGCTCTAATTCATCCCAAAGGTGTTCTATCGGGTTGAGGTCAGGACTCTGTGCAAGCCAGTTATGTTCCTCCCCCCCAAACTCGCTCATCCATGTCTTTATGGACCTTGCTTTGTGCACTGGAGCGCAGTCATGTTGGAACAGGAAGGGGCCACACCCGAACTGTTCACACAAAGTTGGGAGCATGACATTGTCCAAAATGTCTTGGTATGCTGATGCCTTAAGAGTTCCCTTCACTGGAACTAAGGGGCCAAGCCCAACCCCTGAAAAACAACCCCGCACCATAATCCTCCCTCCACCAAACTTTACACTTGGCACAATGCAGTCAGGCAAGTACCGTTCTCCTGGCAACCGCCAAACCCAGACATGATGTCCATTGGATTGCCAGGCAGAGAAGCGTGATTCATCACTCCAGAGAACATGTCTCCACTTCTCTAGGGTCCAGTGGCGCCGTGCTTTCCCCCACTGCATCCGACGCTTTGCATTGCACTTGGTGATGTAAGGCTTGGATGCAGCTGCTCGGGCCATGGAAACCCATTCCATGAAGCTCTCTACACACTGTTGTTGTGCCAATCTGAAGGCCACATGAAGTTTGGAGGTCTGTAGCTATTAACTCTGCAGACAGTTGGTGACTTCTGCGCACTGTGCGCTTCAGCATGCGCTGACCGCGCTCTGTCATTTTACGTGGCCTACAACTTCGTGGCTGAGTTGCTGTTATTCCCAGCTGCTTTCACTTTGTTATAATACTAGTAACAGGTGACCGTGGAATATTTGGTAGCAAGGAAATTTCTCGGATTGATTTATTGCACAGATGGCAACTTATCACGGTACCACGCTTGAATTCACTGAGCTCCTGAGAGCGACCCATTCTATCACAAATTTTTGTAGAAGCATCTGCATGGCGAGGTGCTTGATTTTATACACCTGTTACCATGAAGGTGATTGGAACACCTGAATCCAATGATTTGGCAATATAGTGTATTTCTCTTACAACAGGTTTACCCTAAAGGTGCCCATACACCTTACAATTATCTGCAGATTTTCTGTGGTCAGATGGAAAAAGTGCAACAGATTGGCCCAGGTGGAGATTACTCCATCCACACAGTTTAGCGTAGATGGAGGAATCTGTTACACCTTTTCCATCTGACCACAGAAAATCTGCTGCAGATAATTGTAAGGTGTATGGCCAGCTTAAACCTACCACTCACATCCTGCAAGGGTGCAGTGATACCATTTAACAATCACAAGGATGCATGGAGGTCTAAGGAGAGAGTGGAGACTCATAGAGAACAGCCAATAGTGTTTGGAAAGGTTCTAGGATCAGTTTGTATGCAGCTTGTTCAAAATGTAGTAATATGATCTGTAGGAACGCCAGTTAACAATAAAGTCACAGCTTCAATAGACTGCCAAATCACACCAGATACTGACATTTCCTGTGGGGAAAAGATCACTAGTTTGTTTTTTCAATCAGCCTGTCACATTGGCTTTAACATTTACATTTCAAGTGATATAAATAAAAGCACCTAGTTTATTTGGGAAATGCATTTTTATTGGCTCTGGATAACATTTGACCTGTGTGTCTGGCTGGTCAGAAAATAAAACTTAGAACTTAACCAGACTTTCTGTTTTGCTCCATACTGCACTACTAAGGGGGTACATTCTTTAAAACTGTACAAGTGACAAGACGATATTTCCTCCAATTTCCAGGGCGTTGATCATCTGCAGGTTAGCAAAGCGGTGTTTGTATTCGCAGAACTGCTGTCCGTTCACAAATACCTTGTAACGGCCATTGCCCGTACGGATGGAGATCTAAGAAGAGAAAACACATTACATGTCTATGGAGATGTGTGTAGTTTTTATAAGCCATTGTCAAAACCTGATTATATACATTAGAATTTGATTGTACACTCTCCTGAAGATCTACCAACATGTAGATATGTATGATTGAATATAAAATGACTAGACTAGATAGATTTAATGTTTCAAGAATTCATAGCAACCAATGAAATTATATTATTCACCGGTCTGACTAGTACACTGAAGCCTATTGGTTGCTTTGGGTTGCTACTGAATGAAGCCTATAGAGATTTTAAACAAGGTGACAGCAGTCATAGCTGAGCAGGTGTGAGCCAGAAAAAAGGTAGAAGGTAAGTAAAAAGAAGTTATTCGCAGGACTGGTCAATAAACGCAGTGCAAAAAGCAACAAAGCTATGAAAAGTGCAATAACCAGTATTGGCCAAATTTGTGGCTGCTATGGGTAACTGCACTTTGAACATCTACACACTGTGCTGGCTTGCTTGAATTAACCTGCTTGAATAAACCAATTTGGTGGTGGTGGTGGGATTGGGGTACTGGATTTGCATTCGAGCTGCAAGGATAGCAGATAGAAATATCATGGGGCTGGACCTATTTTTAGGGGTATTTCCTAAGAGAGATTACAAATACTTACATCAAAATACTGGCCGGGAATGAAGGGATTGAAATTGGCAACTCGTTCCTCATTGCCCCAGTTTCCCCTCAAGAAGCTGTTTCTCACCACTGCACCCTCATTCAGGCGGACATTGAAATGCAGAGCAATCTCATTAGTGGCTGTTGACTTAAAGTTAATGTGGAAACTGAAAAAAAAAGTTTGGAAGACGGTTAGTCTATTGTGATGGAAATGGTTAGGCAAGCACTGGATTGTCTCTATCCAGGAAATACTACAACTTTGCTACAGGCAAAGTCCTCTGAACAGACTCTTAGAGGGGTTTTTCCTGGAAGAGTTAAATCTTTCACACTTACTGGCAGAGCAGTTGGTCTGTAAACAAAATACCCATATATATGAGATGGTCATGAGATCCAATCACTGTAGAACCAATGCACATTGATATTGACTTAGATGCATATTGATGCCCTTATAAAAACCTTGTACGATTGGCTCCAAGGCTCTAGAGCCAATCCGGTCAGGATTAACGTATAGACTTAGATTGGTTTCTTGTTCTGACACTTGTATTGGGCGATGATCATTTTATGTCCTGGGATACCTTTTCTGAACCTTTGGTTTTTTAACCAGGGGATCTGAGCCCTTCTCAGATAAGAGCCATGGTAACACTGGCTGAATGTGAGCAGAGAAATTATTGTTCTCATAGAACTGAATTATTCCCTAATACCCATGCCAAATTTCAGATAAGTGTTCAGGCTTTGCACGCCACCCTCAACTCAAGCTAATGAGCTCAGGGCAAGGAGAGCAAGGGTACTTTAATTATTTCCTGGAAAACTGCCATAATCTTGTGCTATCTATTATAGCCCCATTCACAATGGAGCTAATTAATGATGGACAGCAAATTCCATTATCTGCTCACCGCAAGACACTGCAGTGCATTCTTTGGTCATATTGCTGCTTAAAAAATGTCCCCAGTGCCTCCTGGTAGAACTAAATTAAGTTAAAACCTGTAGAGAAAAGTTTCAGAAAATACTACTGAAGGTTTGTCTGTTTAGTTTTGCTTCCCGGATCTTAAAATAGTAAAGATAATCCTAAACTTCAGTCAGAAAAATTAGAAGGGGTATTTACAAGATATCTATGCAATGCAATCTGAACTTTGTATGTACAAGGTCATATATCCCAAATAATTGGAAATCTTGATCAAATAGAACTGTAATTTTCTTATTCACTTTCATATACAAACTAAATCTAATGTCTAATTTTATCTGTGCCCTGGGTAGCTGCCCACCCTTGGTTACACTTCAGTATCCTCATACAGTGGAAAGGACATATCTTTGTACTACCATATTCCCTGGTGTCCCATGTCATTGTGTGACTCTCACCTCTGCCCTCCCTGGGGTATAAATCCTTTCACCACAAAGGTCCTTTTGGGTGTCACTCCTCCGTGTATGTTTCCAAGATAAGGAACTGGCTTTAATGTGGAAGACACAGAAAGCTCAATGAGTATAACAGTAAATAAACCGGCCAATTATATAAGAGCAATGATAGCGTGCAAAGTGCAGTAACCTGTATCAGTCAGTTTTTTTGGGGGGGATGATTCCTGATCCTTTGCTATAGGCTAAGGCACAATGCATGTTTATAATACTCTTTGAACCTTCCTATTGAATAGGTATGTGAGATAGACAGACAGACACATTATAGGGTTGATTGTTCATGGCCAGGGAAGCAACCTGAGCTGACCACCAATCCATGGTGGAGGAGCATGTCTCAATAACAGGGGATTATGGGTAACAGTGTTAAAATATTAGCCATACAATTACAATAAGGGTTCTCTTCCGACAGTATAGTGATGGATTTATCTGTTATCACTCACACGCATCACACATATGTGTTTGAAATGAAGATATCTATAGAGCAGTGCTATTAGTTATGACTTGCTCATGCAACTACTTGTAGCTCTGTCTTTCCAACATCATGGTTTTGTAAAAATGATTTAAAGAAAAACAGGAAACAAAAGAGCAAGAATTAAAAAAAAGTTTTTTCCATGGCAGAGCAAATTGGACCATTCTTTATAAAGGCTTTTGCCTTCCTCTGGATAAGCTATGGGGTTTAGGGTTCTGAGGGTGCAGGTTTTAATTTGTTATTTTTTTGGTTGTACTCATTGGACAAGTCTTTATAAACCTCAGACCAAATATGTAACTTACTATATGCAACAGGCCCCACTGAATTTTCCAATCATAGTGTAGTCTAACAATATCTGAGGCAATCATTAACACCCATCAACAAAATAATTATAAAATTCAATAAATTTCAGATCAGCTCAGGAGGTGTTGGAACCCTTGAGTCTCCTTCTAACCATCTATCCCTGGAAAACTCAGAGACAAGAGAAAAGACACACACACACACATATATAATTGTATACTGACCGGGTTATACATGGGTCCTCCCATTACCTTCCAGGATAAAGAGAAAAATGTAGGTTAGAGCCAAAGATCTCACAAAATATCAAAGTGTTAACATGTATTCATGTAGTTCTGTGTTCTATAGGCAGATACAATACATTGGATAGGCAAGTTATGGGCACTTTATCAGCCAAATTTTCAGGTTTATTTATAGCTACTAGTAGTTATAAGATGAAAGTCACTCATCCTGGCTGGTATGAGCTGGTCATACAATGATCCTATATCTATGAGCCCAGCGCTTTGGAATTGTAATAAAGCACTACACCAACAAATGAGAATCCAAGTGTATTTATTTATTTATAAAAGATCTGGCAAGCCAATGTGTTTTGGGGGGTTCTGAGGGTCTCCCTTCATCATGGCTTTAGATACTAATATAGATAACAGACTTGAGTGGTAATATTTTAACAAAAGAGTAAGCCTCTAAGTTAGAAAGCATGCTCCAGCTATTTTTGCATCCTTGACAGTATCATAATTGCACTAGTGGCAGTAAAATATCAAAGCCAAAACTCAAACAGAGATCTGTCATGTCTAGGATTTGAGAACTGTTGGCTGTGGTACCAGCATCTAAGGTCCCCGTCCTCCCAGTTTTCACATCCCAGATTATGCACAGGACACAGCGGATTTTTCTCAATGGTAGTTTTTTAACTTTAGGGAAGCCATGCTTGGCCTACAGGAATATCATTTAAAGTAAGCTCATCATTTTACACTGAACAATACTTTTTGAAATATTGGGACCCCTTTATTGCATAATTTTAACACCAAAGCAAACTAACCCTTTAAGCATCACGGTGTCTTTTTGAAATACAGAAATACAAAGATGGTACAAGGTGCAGTAACCCTTAGCAGCCTAAAGTGAGTTCATGCTAGCCTAATTTTTTGGCTGCTATAGATTACTTGCCTTTGCCTCATTGAAGTGGACCTATAATCTGTGATAAATTCTCATCTTTTTTACCTAGCCTGCTGCCATTTACCACTAGGTAGCAGCAGAAGTCTAGAAATAATTGTCATCTCTGACAAAATCATTGCTATGGACTCTTTCTGGTGTCATGTGGCCAAATGTTGGACTTGGGCAGATTGTCTCAGACAAAAGTAGCTCGAAGGGGTAGCGTTGAGGCAGAGCCAGCCCATTAGGGACTGTGCCTGTACACTGACCTACAGCTATGTAAATAAACAAAAAAGACAGAGCGCCCACCCTGTGCAGTACTGGGTAGTTTCAAAAACAAAAGGCTACTCGCAAACGTAGCGGCACAAATAGCTTTAGCAATGCTCCACAACTAGAAAGTGATCTCTAAGCAGTCCAGAAGAGCATCCACAGTCTTTAGTCCGGGTTGATAGACACCGGCATCACCTGTGGTAAAAGCAGTTGATGCGTTTCCTGGGGCTCACCCCTTTCATCATAGATGTCCTCTATGATTACGCCCAGGTAGTGAAACGCATGAGAGGCGCTGGAGTGGGAGAGATAATGTGGTGGTGTATACCTTGTATTTTGAACTTTGCATGTAATTTACAACAATAAAGTTGGATTTTTATGGACTTTGGTTTTGTGCGGCTGATTGGAGAGATATTGTTTTCCAAGTAAATATATAACTAGGTACATGAAGACAGTATATACAGGGAATACTCACAGGTAGGCTCATAGATGGGTAAGCTGGAAGTGTCACCGCCTTGAGTTAAAAAAGAAAGGGACATGAATTATTATAGCTATACTAGTTACAATTTGTATCCAAGGGGTCTAGGTATGTATTATACGTACCCCTCCTGGTTGGTAAGAAGGACCACCACCCATCAGAGCCTGGAGAAAGCATATACATGATCATTTAGAATTCTTTTTTGCATTTATTTTATTAAAGTTCTTACAACAGATTTAGAGAACATTATAAAGTGGATGTTAGACAGAATGATCTTTTGCCATCTTTTCATCTTACTCTTCTAGAAAACCAAAGCCACTGCTTAGTTTTTGTTTCCACCAAGTGCTATTATAACTTTACTTTCTCTTCTACTTAAAACCCGACTGAACTTATATTTTAAATTAGCTAAATATATTTCAGGGTCACTAAAACAAAAGCTGTTAAAATTCTTACGGTTTGTGTTCTTTAGAAAGCAGCCTAAGTAAAGGAAAGCCTGTCTCTGGCCAGCATGCCGCTGGGATCCTTGCTTTTTGTGTGGAAGCGGTGCTCTCTCTGCAGAGGTCCCACTGACTCCCTGCTGAGTCAGAGCTAGAGCTCTCCTATTAGAAACGGAGCATGAGTTCAGCCGAGTGTAGAGCTATAGGTCTGATTTTCTAGGGGGCATGTCAGACCTCTGCATCCACACTGAGGGTCTTGCTCTACGGCATGATGGCCAGGGACAGTTTTTTTTTAAATTTAGGCTGTGGCTAATAAAAAGCATGCAGTACATTTCTGCAATACATGCACATTTCCCTGTATCTTTAAATATGATGTGAGTACAACAAATCGAAAGGTATTTTTCTGCACTTACCGGTAAACACTAAAACATGGTGTAATAGTCATGTATTTCAGAGATGTACCGCATATGTATTTTTTTATGGCCAGACATACACTAATTTTCTTATCTAAAATACTACAATGCCATCATATCTAAATGGTTGTTACAGACTTTGCTCCTAGTGATTGCACTTTGCTTTAAGGTGTCTATATAGATATGCACTAGCAGTCTCCCAGTAGAGGAAAATCTCTCTAATGTGAACAAAAACAGCAAACAAAGCACATATTTTAGTAAAGTGTGGAAAAGTTAGAATCTCTACCTAGTTCATCGTCATCACTAGTTTTTGGCATCGAAATTTTGGTAGAATACTACTTGGCTGGCTGTGTCTTAAGTACTCTGAGTCACTGACCTAAAACACGTATGCAGATTAGTGAAGGATGATTCAGAGCTCCAGATCTTCATACTTATTTCAGGTCTGTGCCTTAGAAAGTATTTAAGCTATTGGATCAATAGGACAGTCAGACCCCAGCGATCCACTGCAACTCATCTCTCAAGCAATCCCTTGCCACTCCTTCCTCCAATGCAGCCGCCACCAAAATACACAGTTTGGAATGGTGTTTGAGCTCAGAGGGAGCAATGACACCACCCCCTCTACCACATAACTGTGTTCAAGCCTAGTAATTGGCTGCTGAGCCCAAGCCCTGCATTATGGGTGCATGCTCCCCCATACTCCGAAGAAACCAGTAACAGTAAACTCCCAGCTATGCGATACCCATTGGGATTGGTAGATGCCGGATAGTTGTAGTTTATGGTTGCTTGAGAGTTACTATTAACTCTCAAGCAACAACCCCCCACCCTATTAATCTGCTGGCTAGATTCTGCTATTGGCTATTTCAAATTGCCATAGCCAATAGCAGGCTGGCTATAGCACATGCCCACTGCCTGTTGTTTACATTCACCTGCCAGCTGCGGAATCTAGCCATCAGCCACAGCAAGATGTAAACAGATAATTTAATTAGCAACTAAATAAATGTAGTTGCTAACAAAAATTTTTAGTGTGCATATGTATATCAAGCAACTGGCAAAAAAGTGAGGACATATGTCCTTAATTTTTATTTTTTTTTCTGGTTGCTTGAATGCTGGTTAATGGGGAGTTTACTCTATTTTGTGCCATGATGTGATGGAGGAAGGATTGTCAATGCATAGTTAGTGAATTG